AACCATCCTAAGCCCTATAACAACTGGTCCAGCCACTTCTGTTGCCGCAGGGAGCCTACGGCAAGGGTGCCCAGTTCGGCAAGGGCGGAGCCCCTGCTCAGGGCGGCTTCAAGGCCTCTCAGGACATTTAAGTGCTTGGGGCTTAGGGTTTAGGGCTTAGGGCTTCGGGTTTAGGGCTTAAGGCTTAGGGTTTAGGGCTTAGGGCTTATAGGGTTTAGGGTCCTTCAACTACCAAAGCCTCGTTGTTTTTTTTTGTGTAGGGGCCCTCAAAATTCGATATTCGGGGTTATGATAAGAACCTACAAACAAGTAGGTTATGGTAGTAGCCAAGGTGGGGCTGGCATGGAGTTGAGAGCTAAGGGGCATGTTGGGTGTTGACGGTTGAGGATTCAGGGTTTAGGGCTGAACGTTCAGGGTTTAGGGTTGAATGATTTGAATGTTCAGGATTTAGCGATTCAGGGTTCAGCCATGCAGGCTCAGGGATTAGGCTTGCGGGTTTAGGTTTATAGAGTAGCATTTCTAGGGCTTAGGGCTCAAGGCTTGAAGTTTAGTTTAGGGTTTCATTAGGGTTGAGGGCTCATAGAGTTGTGGTCTAGGGTTGGGGGTTTATAAGGTTTGGATTCAGGGTTGAGGGTTTCGGGTTTCGCTTGGGTTCACGACTTCCCGGTGCTTCCACAAAGGATTAGTCCTGGTAGGGCTTTGTCGAGGGATCTTCTGGGATTCGATGGCTTTGTTGGGAGAGGGGAGTACATAGGTTCCCTAGTGGTATTTGGAGTCTCTGTTTTCGGGCTTCCTTGTTGCTACCCATAGGCTCCATAGTAGTTCCTTCTTGTGGTTTATATTTAGGATCCTATAAAGGAACTACTATGGAGCCTTTGGGTAACTGGTACAGAGGCCTGAGCAAATAGAAATGCTATCCCCCTACAGCCCCTGTATACTCATGCCTTAAAAGGCCCTACAATACACCAAAGCCCCTAGTCTACATCTATAAGAGTTTATCATGTCCTACAAAGCACCGCATTCTACTTGCTGAGGCGTCATTGCACTTTAAAAAACAACCCTAAACCCTGAACCCTAAAACCCCTTGAGCCTGCTCCTCTCAGGGCGCCCCTGCGGCGGGGTATAGAGGCGGCGCTACTGGCCAATTCCAGCAGCAAGGCCATGTGAGGATTTTTTCTGCAATTCAACCGCTCGGATGGGCCACTCTCCATCCAGCGGCATTCTAGCTCTCTCTGTCTCTCTCTCTCTCTCTCCCCCTCTCTCTCTCTCTCTATTTCTATCTTTCCATCCCTCCATTTCTCTATCTAAATCTGCTATCTGCTATCTGCTATCCATCTATCTATCTATCTATCTATCTACATATCATCGATCTAGCTATCTACATATCATCTATCTACCTATATGTCTATCTGTCGATCTATCTGTCTGTCTACCTGTCTACCTACCTGTCTGATGTATCTATCGATCTATCTATCTGTTTGTCTTTCTTTCCGTCTATCTACCTGTCCGTCTATCTACCGATTTCAGTGGCAGGAATTCGTATTCACGGTCTTTGGCTGCAGTATAGTATGTGTATCCTGGTAACAGCAAACCGAACAAAAAAACAAACAAAGTTTTCCCTAAGCCGCAGTGCCTGATTCGCATTCTTTGCGCCTCGACACAAGGCATGGCTCGTTCAGCCGCTTATTGGTTTCAAACTGGGCCTATCAGGGCCTTACGGTTTTTTTGTTTCATGGAGTTGATGGATGTTGCATGGTGTTGTTCGTTTTGTTCTGTAGAGTCGTGTCATATGTTGATTACATCGTGCTTCTACTTACAGATGCATGTATGTACATGTATGTATATGTGCATGTGCATGTGTCTATATGCATAGCGTGTTTGTATATACGTATAGCAATCGACGGATGTGTGTGTGTGTGTGTCGTTTCATTCCGCCAACCCAAGTCTTCCGAGAGGAAGACCAGGGATGGCTCTGCGGGGCTAGGGGCGCAGGCTATTCAAGGTCTACGGTTCAGGGTTTAGGGTTCAGTCTTGGCGTTCAGGTTTCAGCGTACACGTAAACCCTAAACCGCGCTGTGGTTTCCGCGAGCTTCCAGGCAGGGGCTACCCGGCACAGCAGCAGCAGATGCAGCAGCAACAGCAGCGGGCCTACCAGCAGCAAAGAGGCCGGGAAATCTATAGACTTTAGTCCCTGAGCCCTCGTCCCTAGAAAGTAGTCGAATAATGCACTTTTTATGGATGTTTGTCTGTCCATGTACACGAATAGTGTATACTTTGGCCTTAAAGTAGTCCCTATATGGGTACTTTGGGGCCAAAGTATGTACTATTTGGGCACATGGACCCTTAGGGTAACCCATAGATAAGCCAAGCTCATCGGCCCCAAAACTCGAAATCTGCAAGACCCCATCGTAAACTCCTGGACCCGTGTGCAACCGTTAGGAGCCTTGTGGAAACCGAACTCACATCATGTTTCACATTCTTCAAACCCTACGTAGATCCTGGGCTGGGACAGCAATAATAGTGATATTAAGACTAACGACACAATTGAGTACTAAAACTCTACGACGGTAATCAAAGTCATAATCATATCAGTTGTGATGTGTTTGCCATCTGCGAGTTTGTGCTTTAGGTCAGCTTCTTCTCAGGAACTCCGTCGGCCAGAGAATGGAGAGCCATTCAGGATAGAGGGCTTTGCATCGGGCCGTGGGGTTGCGGGGTTCGGAATACTTACTAACGAGTTTTATGCCCTATAGTCCATGTATATGGGGCTTTAGAGTTCACGGGGTTCGGGATAACCAATAGCGAATTTTACCCCCCTCATAGTCCATAGCATTATAGCACAGCATCCGACATCCCCCCCAAACCCTTTTCCAAACATTAACGCCCTCCCCCCATATTAGGGTTGTGGGGTCCTGGGCCTTTTGTTCAGGATCAGGGGGGCTCCGTCAAAGGGTACTTGGGCCGTGCTGGTAGGGTTTAGGGTGTAGCATTGTTATTTCGGTCTGAGGGCGACGGTATTTGATCTCAAGTTCAAGATCATGACATATGATACCCGAAACCCGGAGAAGCTTGTGCAGACTCCTCCATCTGAGTAATCTCCTTGCTTTGAGGGCGACCGGTGCTGAAATCCGTCTACCCTAAACCCTAAACCAGATTGGGGTGTTATTACAACTCCGAAATCCGGTCAAGGCCAAGCCCGAGTTGAGTGCAGAGCGAGAAGTAATCTGCCCGTCCAAGCTAGGTCAGAACATGTGTTGAACAGACTCAGATAATATGTATAAAAATTATATGATTATATATATATACATACATACATACATACATACATACATACATATATATATATATATCTCTCTCTCTCTCTCTCTCTTTAATCCTATCTTCTCTTCTTGCGGTCTTAGCCGTGTGGCACCTGAAGGATGCTAACCACGGTAAAGCGGGGCGCTCTGGCGAGGCCAGCAGCAGATGACCCCGCAGCAGATGCAGCAGATGCAGCAGCAGCAGATGATGCAACAGCAACAGATGCAACAGCAACAGGGCCGGGACCTCAGCGGCCCAGCTTCTAAAATTGAAGGAGCCACCCTACGGGTCCATGTACCCAAATAGTATATACTTTGGCCCCAAAGTACCCATATAGGGACTACTTTAAAGCCAAAGTATACACTATTTGGGTTTATGGACCCTCAGGGCCAACCATATCAAGAAACAGCTGAAGCTCCGTATATACCATACCCGTATAGAAGCCCACACAACCCTACGAAGACCTCGAAGGATCTCTGCAACGACCTCCGAAGAAGAGCCTTTGAAGCACATTCCCATTACCGAAACACCTTTACCCCGCCAAACCCCTGACCCTCATAACTCCTGACTAAGGAAGGACCTATATTCCCCTTTAGATCTCACCAGTCACTCTACCCATAGGCTGCTTAGTAGTTCCTTTTTGCGATTACCTTATAGGATTCTAAATATAAACCACAAAAAGGAACTACTTAGGAGCCTTTGGGTAGTCTTTGAGCTCTGATCTTCGGTGTTTCGGGGGATTCCGGGTGGGTCCAGGGCTTTGGAAGCAGACGAGATATGTCCGAAAACCCAAAGCTCGAGTCAAAAGTCCTTTGAGCCCAACATATATACACCTATTCTAACTATTGACTATTGATGTGGTTATTGTCTGTGCAGCTATGCGTATATATATATATATATACACATACACACAGACGCATACCGATGCACACATGTACATAAGTGCTCTGACGTACATGTATATGTGCACCTATACTAGTAGCTGTTTAAATCGACTTATCTATGCCACTAGAGGTGCGTCTCTGTGTGTGTGTGTGTGCGTGAGTGAGTCTGTGTGTCTATGGGTATAATTAAAACTCTATGTGTGCGTCTGTGTATGTGTATGTGCATGCAGGTGCATGCGCAAGTCTGTGTGCCATATGTACATGTGTGGATCTCTCCCTCCCTCGAAATGTGTATAAAATAAATATACTATAAATATTATGTGTATATATATATACACATACACACACGCAAACGATGTAAACATATAGACAGCTACTTTTTGGCACTCGCTCTGGCCAGTTACCTCGCCTACAGACAGCTGCTTAAAGGTTTGCATTCTGCCATTTTGTGTCCTTGGATATCCTTGGTTTCTCATTCGTTTCATCGAGCTGCCACCATGCCCGCAGCCACACCAACAAACAAACAAACACACACACACAAGGCAATTTGCGTGTCGCTTACCCTTTTCAGCATCCTCATGATTGGGCAAAGAAGCAACAAGAGTGATCGAACCATTAGGCTAGTCGACCTGCCCACTGATGATGACAACCCGCAACCCTCCGCATCATCTTCTTCTTCCGCAAGACCATCACAATAAGCAAAAGCAAAGTAGCATATCGGGTTGACAAGCCTCCGAATCGGTGTCCGGTGCGAGGCCGGATGCATACCACTGGCTCTGTTTCTCGACGAGCACTAAGGAACTGCATGGGGTCTCCCTAACGTCTTTGGACCAGAACGGCAGGATCCTTGCCATACTCCTGATTTAGGGTGGTCCGGGCAAGCCGCAGGACCTCGTAGCCGACCACCGCCTCATCCACGAGCCCGGCTGCCAGCAGCTCCAAACCAGTCCAACGCCTCACAAAGCACAGGGGGCACCCGGCTCAGAATCCCCCATGTCTGCTAAACTCGTACATGCCACAACGACAGAAGACAAAATGACTTTGTCACAGACCTGGCACCCTTGCGGCAGTATGATATAACATAATTAGTTGATAGTTCAGCATGCTATAGTATTGCGATAATGTACCATGGGTTTGGGCTGTGGCCTGGAATTGAAGAGGAGCACGTCCCGATGCATGCTGCGAGGAAGCTTAGCCTGCGCCACAGCACATGCACGTCTTCACTTGCCTCCCCTTACTGCCTTACTTCTTGCGAGGAGCAGGGGTGGTTGCAACCTCCAGCCCTGCCGAGAAGGCTCTACAAGTAGCATCCTAGGCTGAAAGCCTCCAAAAAAGACCACGCTGCGCCGTTCTGCCCGGCGCCTTCATGAGCTGTGTCTGAAACGGGGAGAAGACCAGGCCCAGGTCCACAGCTGGGATGAAAAAGAATCCTACATACAGGCAGGGGTCCACGTCACAAGGCGCGGAGTGGCGCAGTAGCCATAGAGCCTTAGGGGAGCTCTCCTGCGTCCCGGGACATGAGCCGGAAATCGAAGGCCAAACCTGGGAGTTGGGCGAGCAGACGATCTCGGACTTGGGGGTGCTTTGAGCTTAGAAAGGATTGGGAGCAAAGGGGTTCCTTACATCAAGCGAAGAGGCCCATCATTCCACCGGTCGCGCACCAGTGGCCCCGGATGGCTGCTACAGTCGGCCGTGGAAAACAGCAGATCCTGAAAGAAGGCTGCCTGATTATCGTACTCTCTGCCGCTATTCCATTCACAGATCAAGAACCATGGCCATCATGGTGACTCCTTGCGATCAGCCGATCCGTTTGCTTCAAGAGGTTCGCCGCCTCGTCTGGGTGCTTGTCCAGGTAGTTCAAGTCCATTCCGTTGGACCAAAACTTGCCTGAGCTCAACCCCCAAAGCCTCTCCTTTCAAGTTTAGGAAGGGCTCTGCTGGCCAAGCTTCCCTTGTTGGTGACGACAAGCACCTGTGAATGGAAGGGCCAACGGGCGGCCAACGTGAAAAGCTGCAGGGCACGAGGCTCTCTCTAGTCTGGAGAGGCATATTGACGGAGTCATCTCCCTCGACAGCATCGAGTGCGACAGTCATGGCTCGCAGCATCACCTCGCGTATTTGATGCAGCTCTTGAGGTGCACAGCCAAAAAGGGCCGGCAAAAGCAAGTCGAGGAGCAGGGTTGAATCGGTGTTCTTGTCGAGAGGTCCCCCATGGTAAAGTTCCAGACTCTCCCAGCAAAGTCAGCACCGCCACTCCCTCTCCTAAGCGGAGCAAAGCGCTTCGAGTGCGAACCCTGACATCCATGACCAAGCTCAGGGTCGAATGCTGAGGGACACCTCATCGAAAAAGCTCGTCGAAGCCATGCAGCCGCATGATATGGCAGACTTTGTTCTGAATGGCTGTGGTGGAATGCAGGCATACCGACACAGTCAGAGGTCGAGCAAGATTTGCAGAAGACTTTTCATAGCCCCCAAGCAGGCGCGCCAGGCACGAAAAGCAGGGCGCGAGGCTCCAGTTCCGGGTCCAAGCTCAGACGCTCAGAGCCATCCGGGGTCCGTGTTGTTGGAATCATCCTTGTCGGGAGGTCTGGAGACGGCTCGCGGCTGGGAGCGGGCGCCTGGGAAGCCAGACTCTGAGGCTGCTACCCAATCGTACACGTTTTGGCAAACGATGCAGTTGTATCCTCGGCGCAGTCGAGACACTGTGCCTCTCGCAGCAAAGATGCTCTTGCGTTTTTGAGGTCTTTGCTACGCTGGAGCCGGTGCAAGAGAATGTCCTGAGGACTGCAAGGATTGAAAGCTTCGCTTGGAGTCTCAGAGCCTCTTCGAACTGACCCCACAACAGGGTGCACTGACCGATTGAGAGGAGACAGCTGACTGAACATACAGTAACTGCCCTGTGGATCTTTCAAGGGTTTAGGGGCGCCAAGGAATGGCGAGGCAATTGAAGAATAACATCTACATAGAGAGTGCCCGGACCCCCCTGCCTGCAACTCCTGCTCAAAGCGCAGGTCCTGCTCGACTTGCATCAAAAGATGCTGTCAGTGAAACCCTCGCCCTCGCGCCTTGAACCAGTTGTGCCGGATGGCGACACCCAGCGGTGCTGTGAACAAATGCGGCTCACCCTGAGGCTGTCTGTCAGAGCTGTATGCGGGAACTAGCGGGAAAAGGTCTCAACTCTTGGCTGCGCCGCAAGCCCGCCCTGAGCTGCTGGCAAGAGCCGTCACCTGGGTTCAGGTTTGGACTCATCGGTCATCGGTAGACGCAAGACTGGCAGTGCTTGCAAACCGCTTCGTCCGCTCTGTTGTCCGCAATAGCCTCTTTGCTCGTTTGCTTCTTGCTAACCTTTGCAAAGCATCTCTTTTTCCCGGCAGGCCGTGTGCGCTCGGAGCCGCCAGTTGCAAAAGGAGATTCCTTTAGATTCTGGAGGCGCCTTACTAAGGTTTCCGACGCCAGCAGAAAGGACCAACTCGAACAGTCCTGCATTTGGCTGTGCGGTCTCTGCCGCTGGTTTCCACACTTGTGGTGGGCCTGTACACGTCGCCCGAGTTCGGGGGACTCAAAGCAAAACAGTAAAACATGTACTTGTGACTACTGCAGCGGAAGGTCACGGATGGGCTTCTCGGCGGGCAGAGTGGTTCGCCCAAGGAGGCTTGGCGCCTCTTGGCGAGGAGGGCGAATCTGAGAGATGCAGCTAGGCCGGGCCCGGGCACGGCGTCTCGAGGTGTACCAGCAAAGAGCAGCGAGGAGACTGAGGAATAAGGCGCTTAGGAGCAAAGCAATTAGTCCCACAAAAAGATCCGAGTCTCCAGTCGCTCCAATCGCGGACTCTTGAGTTTCTGGGCAAGGCAGGTAGGGATCGAAGCCGCACCAGCGGCACTCCATGTGGCTCCCATCTGCATTGCAACCAAGACCTCCTCTCAGACAAGAGGGGTCCCACGTGAAGGGCGTCCTTTTCGGAGGCCCGGGATTCGGAAAATCACAGTCGCCAGAGGGCGGAGGCCTGGCCCACACAGGCTGCGCCGTCGTGCCCGATCCAAGCACATCCTCACTGTCCTCACTTCTCTCGCCTCTTGACCACGGAAGCATAGAGTGGTACCAGTTCGTAGCATCCGCCGCACCTGGACACTCTTCGACCGGTATGCCTGAGCCGCACCACAGCCCGTAGGTACCAAAGGACTTGCCGCAGAAGAAGCGCGGCTTCGTTGCTTTGAGGTATGCCGCACAAGCAGAACGCCCCAGCACCCGCCTTGACGTCCGCCGCTCTCTGTCAGGGGCAAGGATTGTCGGAGCACCTGTTTCCAAACCAAACGAATCCGGAGAATAGACATAAGAGCCCTCGATGTAGGGAGACTCCCAAGCGATGCAATCAAAGCTGACGATCTGTGAAGTTGCGGTCATTCGGATGCCAGTGCCAAGGGCCTGGACGGCCCACGCAAAGTCCCGGTCCTTTGTCAAGTTCTGTCGCAGTTCCCGACTGCCCTCAAAATAGATCGGATTCCCGTTGCCTCCGAAAGCACACTTGGGCTTGGCCACGCGGAAGCTTGGCGAGGAGCTGGCAGTTAGGAGCCAGCCGCTGTTCTTGATGTGAATGCCAGCATCGTAGAGCTGGAAGAAGGTCTCCGAGAGGTCACCGCTGATGAATAGCGACCTTTCAAAGACCAGCGTGAAGCCTGGGGGTGATGCTTCTGTAACCTTGAAGCATGCCGTGGTGAGCTCAGGCATGCTGGCAGCAATATGTCGGCAGTTCCAAAACACGGCACCGGTGAAGTGGATGTAACCACCGGAGGTCCAGACAGCTCGAGACTCTGACGGTGCAGGGCCTCCGGAAATGTGAGCCGCAAGGAAGTCTTCGAAGCGGTTCGCCTGGAAGCGGTAGCTCCGCTGCGCCAAAGGCAAGCTCGGATCAAAGCGCATGGGGACCCAGGAGCTGGATCCCTCCAAGGGACCTCTGGAAAGCCGAAAAAACAAGACCCCAAACCCTCGCAGGGAGCTCTAGAGTAACTTCCATGTCTGAGTGCTGCGACGATTGCCATGGTGGCTTTTTTCAAGTCAGGCCTGAGCAGCTGGAGCAGGCATCGCTCCAACAGGGGACGTGTTCGTCGGCAGAGTTCATCACTCGACCATCCACATGCACTCCCCGGGATGCTGTGCCCACCGCATTGCGACGGAAAACTGGAACTCGGGTGCGGGACGGCTCTTGTCTTAACCACCAACTCCCAAAGCCGTGGCCACTCCTGACGCTTTCCACGCTCTGCGCCCTCTCTCCCTGCTTAGAAAGGACCACCGCTTTAGTCGGCCGTGCTTTCGGACCCGGGAACTGAAAAAGCTACACAGCTCCAAGAAACACGAGGCTGCGCTGGCAGTCCTGGTATCGTTGAAGTACCGGGCGCTCAAGCCCATAGCTGTCACGGGGTTTCGGCGGCGACAGAGCTCGAGGGTCGGAAGCGCTGCGAGCCCACATCCATCGGGGAAGGTAAACCAGTAGCCCGTGCCAACTCCGATCACATGATTCTCGGAAAAGCTGTTGTTCGGATTCGTGATCCAGAAGCCTGAAGGCCCCAACTGCAGGTTGGTGCGTGGCCCCTTCCCAAATATCCAGTCACTGCAAACCGATCCGCCTTGGTGGACGGAGATAATCAAGTTTCTGTCGAAGGAGTTGCCAGTCTCGATGCCATCTTCAAGATAAAAGGCGTGACCGAAGGTCTGGAAGCAAACGTTGCTCTGCACCTGTACACCTTCACTTCCATGTATAGTCACGCAGCGTTGGAAGTTGTGGTGAAGAGAGCTGTTGCGGATGAAATGGCCATATGCATTGCCTGCCAGGTGCCAATGTACGGGATACCTTGCCATTTCCAGCGCCTGCCCCAGCAAGGAGAATTCTGAATGCTCGATGTGGATCCTGGAGTTTTGGACGAAAAGCAGGTGGCCCCCAAAGCAGGCGCGACGCACTCGTTGCAGGGCTAAGGCATCCATGACGACGGAGCTATAGGCCTTCTGGCACCCGGCCCAGAGCTCTGAATCCCCCGAGATCCGAAGATTCCGGGTCAGCAAGCCCACGGGAGCATTGAGACGAGCTTCTCCGAAGGCTCCCTCGTGCCTGGCCCGAAGCCCTTCTTGGAGTACCAGGACTTTCCCTTCGACTGCCAGAAGCCGGGCCATCTCGGAGTCCTCCAGCTCTTCGGAGCTGGCACCGACCACCACCGAATCGCCTGGCCTCCAGTTCCTGACGAGCTTGGGGATCACAGTGCCATATGCCAAAGCACCGGCTCTTGAAGGCAAAAACCCATAAAAACATACACACGCACAACAAGAGAAACCAACTGCTCTGGTAGAAGAGACGACTATGCTTCCTTGCTGCGAGGTGCACTGCTTCGGACAGCACAATTTTTGTGTCCCCTCGGAGGGCCGTCTGCTCCAAATACTGCCACGAAGCGCGGGGGCAACCGTGCAGCTCCAAGCGCCCGGTACTCGTCACCAACAGAGCCTCAAGAAGAAAAAAACCACCCGCAAGCAACCAAACTGAGCCCAGTTTCCTCCCCTTCACCCCCCCCCCCCAAAATCCACCCGACAGATCACTCACCCTAGGCCTTCGGAAAGGCTGTGCTCAGTCCATCGCCATCGGCTACGTCTGGCAGCCCGGCTTGGCGCCAGCTGAAGTTAACTGCGGCATCCCTCTCCTGCAATTTGCCACATGAACTGCTTAGAAGTAGCTTTAGCCTTGGGCCTGTTAGCCCCATAAACTTATTGAAACTCTGACTATGCTGTCGGCTCCTCCCAGGAGCCAAGCAGACGCAGCTGGAAGTCGCCCTCGTGGGGCTTTTCCGGGCTGCAACCCACCCAAAGCTCCCCATCCAAGCGAAGGGCGCCGGTCGACAACTCGGCAGTTCCGAGGTTTTGGGGAGCTGTCTAGAAGAAAGGCACCCCCCCCTTTCTTCGGGGGCCCCGATTCAGCATATTGACACCAAGGGTCAGGCCCTACAATCGCCTTTGCAAGTCTTTTCTCAGCTACCAGCCAGTAGCATTGGACTTAGGTCCCCGAGGCCTCGATGTGGGCCTTCGGATGCACGACGAGGCGTGCGCTCTGCCGGATTCTCAATGTTCGGCTGCGCAAGTATAAGGCCTGGCTGTCATGATCCTCAGCGCCCAAGAGGCCTCGACTGATGTCTCTCCGAAAGGTCGTAATCCCCGTTCGAGAGCTTGACCGAAAGACCCATCAAATCTAGTTACATGTCTAGGGAGCTGTACCGACATAGGAAATACCACCTATGTCAAGGATCCCAGGGCGCCCGAAACAAAGGGAAAGGCGCTGGCATTATCACGGAAGCTGGTCTCTACACGGAAGCGAAAGATGAGCCGAAGAAGGGCTTTGCCAAGAATCAATCGGTGGAAAGCTCCAGATCTACCGTAGGGCCGCCCTGCAAGCTGCAAGGCGGCAGAGCCTCTTCATAAGGGCAATCCATCGAGCATCGAGAGGAAGGGGAGGCGGGCCGAAGAGGATGAGATGTGCCCTTTTTGAGAGAGACAGCGGTTGGACATCGGCTCAAAGGAGCAGCAGAAGCCACACAGCTGAGCCCGCCACCGCAGCATACTTTGGCTGCATCTTCTGGTCCCAGCACATGTTGAGGCCTCTTAGTCTCGGCTTGGCGGTGTTTGTTGTCTTTCCATGGCACATCTCTTCCGCGTGCCTTGAGGATTCTCGGTTTTGAGGTGGGCCATATCCTGCAGACTTCAGGAAACCCGACAAAAAGGCAGCAGCCTCTACCGCGTCCTCGTAAGTTTCTGGCACATCATACCTCAGGTGTGCATCAGTGCCTAATAAGTTTAAAGCCCAAACTCGAGAGTCCAGACGGGTAGCTCAGAACCGTGAACCCATGCGAGCCCCGCGCCACTCCTGCAAAAGTCCGAGTCCCTCCGGGGTGTTACGAACCTCGGGGCTTGCCGATTACATTTCATGATGCCGATTTTGGCTATTGGAATCAATAAAACTTTAGGGATTAAGGTGTAGGCTCAGGGTTCCAGATGACATGCCAAAAAACACCACCACTGTAGCGATCAGAGATACCAGCAGGAACGGCAACAGCTGCGGTAGCTTCATTTTGACAATACTGACGGATGGCGCAGCCTGGTTTGCGAGAACATATGATTATGACGACAAGGATACGAGGAGCGAGCATAATCATGCGAAGAAGCGAGCACCAGAAACAGTGATCATTCCAGCACGATTGGCAATCAGCAACTTTCTTCTATAAGCAGATACAAGCAGCAATGAACCGGAGGGACGACCATGATTCCGCCAGCTTGGATGCCCAGACAGTGATAGAGCACCACCAGGACGATGACAACCAACGGCCACAAAGACCATAACGACCACAACCACCACCATCAGAAGACCCAGGAGACCAATAACCTTCCGATTTTGAAATTCTCTTAACTCTTCACGCTTTCGACCATAGCGCCATGGGAATTAGAAACATCAGTCGTGTTAGGTTACATGCTACCTGCTCAGCCGATGCCAGGTCTGTGGCGATGAAGAAGCCGCCGTTGATGAAGGTCTTTTGGTTGATGTCGTCAGTCCCCTTGTCGGCAGTTTCCACATGGTACTCCTCTGCAAACTCTCGGCTCGGAAACGAAAAAGGAACTACAAGCAGCGACTTTCTCGCCCGAGCTTCTTGTCTACTCACCTAAAAACTTCACAAATAGAGTAGAGGCATGTAGCAACCCCTGGGCAAGGGGCCGGCACCTGCGAGAACATGATGAGCCTCGGCATGGTACCAGTCGTTCCGGGGTCTACGTTCTTCAAGCCCCAGCGTCTGTTTTCACATTTCGAGAACTGGCTCACAAGCCTCAGGACACAGCTGTCACAATGTTCGAAGCTTTCTTCAAGAGGGAAGTGCTACACGACTCATGCGGTGAGCATTGACATTGAGCAAGCTGAACACCGAGCAGTAAGCTATTTGTCTCCAACCGCTTGCTGTACAGCGCACACGTAACGGAGGAGTGTACGTATTATAGTAAAGAAAAAGCCTGATCTCAGGATCTGGCAACGTGGTCCAAAGAGATCCAAAGAGTTGTTGAATTCTTCTTTGCAGAGCATGACCTTTTGGTCACGGATCTTGCTCCGCAGAGCCGCACGTCCGGCGGAAAGCTGTACAGTGGTCTTCGCAGTAGCCCACTGTTAAGAGCTCGATCAGCATGTTGGCTGCATCTCGGTGGTGCTTCCCATGGCCCATCGTGGAGTCGGGATCGCTGGCGAGATCCAGATGCATCGCCGGTTCGAAAGCCCTCATGTGAGCGCAGGCGAAGCCCTCCAATAGGATCGCATGGTCACTTGTCGCTGTGACGTAGATCACAGGCAGGTACTGCAGGCGTGTCTCGCCTTGCAGCGACGTGGCCCTGTACCGATTGAGCCGCCGCACCGCTGCTCATTGCCGGGCACGCTCTCGATGACGGATTTGCCGAGTTTGCAATAGGCCTCGTACAGGACGTCGAAGGGCATTCGATAGCAGCCAGCAGCACTTTCTTTGCAGGAGTAGTATGCGGGGGAGACGGCTCCAAGAAACTGTGCCGCCGCACTGGTGAGCTCACACTAAATGCTGCAGCTCCGAAGCTTCAGGAGTTTTTTTAGCACAGTCGGACTCCAAAGATTCCCTAGCAATCGCGCAGACTGCATCCCTAACGGAGCTCTGCGATGCTTCCCTGAAAGGCTCCAGATAGGTCCTGTTCGGATGACGACTGCGGGTCCAGCTGTGTTGCGCCGGCTGGCTCTTACGCCTGAGTCTCATCTGGCTGGGTTCTTGCAGCCATCTCCTCACAAGGATCCATGGCATGCCTATGCAACATCTGCCAGGGTCGGAGCCTGCAGACTCAAGTCGCATCTCTCAAGGTCCAGCTTGCAAACTCAAGTCGCCTCTCGCAAGGTCCAGCCTAAACGCATGCGACATCTGCCAATCCATTGGCTGAAGCGGGAGTTGAGGCTGTGAGCTGCGCTTGTTGAGGGCTGTTCTAGTGTCGTAGCAAACCCTAACTGCGCTAGGCGGCTCAGCTTTTCGCCGGAAGCTTCCCCTCCCTCTGTTGTTCAGATGGTCGCAAGCCGCAAGCACAATACCGTCGAAGGGAGATTCGCCATCAAGCTTTGAGCCAACGCCTCTTGGGTTGCGGCTTGTTCTCGGTGAGGCCATAGTCTGTGATGATAGCAGCGAGCGGCTCGGAGGTGCGAATGAAGGCGTCCTTTGAGGTGTTTCCGACGGACGGGACTTTGATGACAGGATGACAGGGTTGCCAGCAATCAGTTGGCTAGCTGCCAGCTCCTCTGATTGTGTGCGTATGCAACTTAACATCGCCAGACGTTTTCACTGTGAAGCATGGCTCCCATGGCGTCCCCACCATGACGTCAAATTACATCAGACTGGAAGCTCATCAAGACCCCAGCCCCACTCCCACTCAAAGACGGGATTGGACCGCGCTGTAAGCACAACTGCAAGTCGGGGACTCAAGTCTCCAGTCAGGAGGCCAAGACCCCAAGACGAATCCGGGTCGCCGGGCCGTGTCGATCGAGACGCCATAGGCACAGCGCTCTGGACCACGATTTCGAAGTTCTTCTATGAGGACCTTCACCTTCGCCCAGCCTGGGCCGAGCATGAAGCCGCTGGTCCTCGATGCTTGGCGATGCTTGGCCGGGGACCCACCTTCCTGTTTGGGTAATGCAAAGCCTCGTCGGGTCTGACCTCGCATAGCACCGACCATGCACTTGCGCCGGGCTGCGCTGCCTTGCGCTGCGCTCTGAGCAAGCTGCATAGTCAATGTCATAGCCGTGGTCTTGTGCCTTAGCGCTTTGGGTAGCGTGGGGATTCCAGGAAACTTTGCCTAGACACATAACTTCTCGGCAAGCTGCATACGCTTTGTTGACCCCGAAGGAAAGTGTCCAGTACCTCACAGATGGGTGCAATCAGAATCGCAGCTCGTCGTATTATGCACTTTGACGAAATTGCCTTGCATTCAGCACAGACGTAATGTTCCTCAAGGATGACCTGCAAATGACAAAGCGGGTCACTTTCCGAATTACAGAGACTCGCGAGAGATCGAGCCTGCGCCGAGTATCCACCATGAAAATGCACACAGTTGTGTTCCTGAGCAGCTAGCTTTGCAGCTCGACATCATCTGGTTCAGAGGCGGTCCTGTAATTCGAAGTAAAAACCCATTCGCATTTGCACATCAGATAGTTCGGCCTCGGCAGAGAGACATGCCCTGTGGAAGATGCCCCGTGGACGGTCATAAACAAGTGCGACACGTGCCACCCTCGGGACACCAAAGCAAATCGCAACTCTTCTTCTTGGAGAGCCCGGTCTTCTCGTCCTGCAGGCTGGTCGGTCTCATAGAAGTTCAGGGCACCTCTGTGAGACCCGGGCCAAAGCAAAAGCAGAGTGAGCCAGAGGTCCGAAAAGGCTCCTTAGCCAAAGAAACTGGCACTCTGCCAAAAGCGGCAAATCGCGTGCGCTCTTGAAGAGACTCGTGCCAGGACGACAGCAGCACGTTGGCAAAGGTGAAGTTGTTCTTCTCCCTGTAATGCCTGTCATTGCGGTTCTGGATACTGCAAAGCTGTAGACAATTTTTGTCCGGAGCCTTAAGGCCTGCTGGGACACGTCAAGCAACGCTTTCCGAAACCTTGGACATTGGCGGTTTGGCAGAGAGTGAAACTCAGCGACGGGCTAGGTCCAAAGCTGGTCCTGCTCCTGGCGCAAGACTTTCAACTTCTGTGCCTGCGACTTGCAGAAGGTTTTGTCCTCCGCAGCCGATAGCAGACCGGCAATGTACGCCCAGGCCAATGGGCAGCGTTTCAGCATGGCCTGACTCAAAAGATATGTACAACGCAAGAACATGCTCGAGGCCGCCACATCGTCTGCAGTCGCCATGGACTCCAGCAGGTTTTGCCTTTGAAGGGCAGCTCGAGAGAATGAACAAGCTGACGACAGCAACAACACTAGCTGCTGGCGGCATGCTTCACCGTGCTGGTTGAAACATCAATTGACATCATCCATGTGCTCGTCGGAATGAGCTCACTACCTATCTACAAGCCTCCCTACCTACCTACGTACAACTACAGACTTGCAATGGTTGTCGGGCTAAGGAGGGAACCACAGCTCAGCAGGAGCAGTTGCCAGCTCCTCCACTCGGAAAGCAGCTCAAGGTTCGGAAGAACCGGGGGTCTTTTTCAGATCCTTGGACCTTCTTGCAATTAAAACATATGACTTTCAGTATATTAAACTAGGCTATCTTCTAGATTCTAGACTTCTAGGACCAGCCGCCAATACAGCAGTGTTGTACAGACTTCCAGGCTCTGCAGCAGAATGTGAACATGTCGGGGGTGCGGGTGAATTCAGCACTCCCACCGCCCAGCATGGAATCCCCCGCAATCGCCACATGCCCGCGTCCTGCATGTCTGAGGGCATGTGCCCAATGCCAGGAACTTCCTCACAGTCCGTCCATACCTGGCTCCAGAAACCATGATCGCAGCAAGAAGCCGACTGTGCAGAAGCCTTTTGTCTTCGGTCTGAGCTCTCGACCAAGTGCGGATTGGTCCTCGGCCCCCCAAGCTCTGCAAAGCGGTGGGGCCGAGGCCCCGGCTCTTTTTTGGGGCCAAGGCTGTTTGAGGCTTTGGGAGAGAAGCGCCCAAGACCTTAAAAGGACAGGGCTCTATGCAGGGCTCCAAAAGAGCGCGGACTCCTCCTCCTCCTCCTTTTATTGGGGCGTCCAGGAGCGAGGCGAGAAGATGATGGGAGCCCAGCCGGTGTCGACCTGAAGGAGCTCACGTATCCACAACGCAGCAACTCCATGCAGCCAAGGCAGCCAAGGGGTCGCAGGACTCTTATCTTTTTGTCTCCCTTGCCACCCGCCCAGGAGGAGGATGCTTTCAGGCTGCGGATATCTTGGCAGCTGCATGAATTCGGGACCCTCTTGGCTTAGCGGGCTCCGCCAAACAAGATGAGGGCATGAGGACTCGAGAGTCCATGAAAGTGCAGCCAGCGAACGAGCACGACTCCACCCCTCAATTGAACCTGTACAGGTGCGCCACATTGAATTGGGCGCTGACGCCTGCAGTCGCAAGTCGGACACACTGTTCGCGGCCGATGCCGAGATCCGCAGACTCTGCAAATGCATACCAAAACTGTAAGCTTTGAAAATGTATGGCTGCTGCGCCACAACGAAAAGCAAGATCACCTCCTCTGGATGTCCACAAGTGCCTCTGACGAGGTAGCTGTGCCCGAAGTCAAAGTCAATCAAACGAAAGAGTGCTCCCATTCCCCGCTCAGCTCGTTGAAGTTCAAGTAACACACACCGGGACCGGGCTGTGCCTTTTCAAGCTTATCGTTGTGCTGGGCCACTCGCCATACGTAGCCCAGCCGGGTCTCGCAAAGGAACTTGAACTGCTGCATCGCCTTCTCATACTGGTCCCTGGTCAAGAAGTCACTGAGCCTCCTGCGACGGGATTGCAGCTACAGCTATGACAATGAGAACTGCCTCTTCGCTATGTG